CCGTTTTGCAGTCTGGCATTAGAAAAAAACGAAATCAGGTATTTCGCAAGATTTATTCAGCTAAAGACAGGAGTGAGCTAAAGTGACGACGGCGCAAATGGCCGGGAGTGAATGCAGCAGTACGGACACGACACTCCACACTTCACGGAGATGGACCTCGCGCTTTCAGAGACTCGGCACTTTCCGGAAACTGTCGTGCTCGTCCGAACGCCATCACGTGACTTGACATGTCAGGACGTGACGTCATGTATCTACATTTTTTTTTCTTGAAGGTTTAAATAGATCGACTCGAGTTAACGTCGGGTGTAAAAAGTCGTCGGTGATTTACATTGGGTTTTATTTCCAGTTTCCAGTTTCGATTTTTAAACGAGGAGGCGGTGTCCATTGATGACGTCACACATTTTAGCAAACTTTACGTACAAACCATCCTTGATGTCTGAAAAAAAAGAAAAAAGCTACACTCACAATTGAAAAGGAAGTTACCTATATACGGACTTAGATTAAGTAGAGTTCATCTGTTTCTTTGACTGGCTACAAAAAAACAAAACAACAAAAAAAAAAACAAAAAAAAAAACCAACAACAGATCAAATGTAATACAATAGTTCCCACACATGCAAACTGGCTAAGATCATACGTAATACAGTAGTTCCTACACATGAAAGCTAGCTGAGATCAGATGTAATACAGTAGTTCACACACATGTAGCTGATGTAATACAACAGTTCCCACACATGAAAGCTGGTGTAATACAGTAGTTCCCACACATGAAAGCTGATGTAATACAGTAGTTCCCACACATGAAATCTGATGTAATACAGTAGTTCCCACACATGAAAGCTGATGTAATACAGTAGTTCACACACATGAAAGCTGATGTAATACAATAGTTCCTACACATGAATGCTGATGTAATACAGTAGTTCCCACACACGAAAGCTGATGTAATACAACAGTTCCCACAAATGCAAACTGGCTAAGATCAGATGTGTGTATAGAGACTGAACAATTTTAACACATACCTGAGCAGTACTAATAGACAAAACACCTGCTACCTGATAGGTCATAATTTATTTAGTCTTGCTGCACATCAATAATCATAACCCAATCGTATTCGCCACGTGACCGAGATGATCTAACATAAATACACGTGACTAGATTGTCACGTGAGCACCATGTGACGTAACAGTGTGTATTTATAGCCTTGATTAGTGACCAGACGGCCATATTGAATGTCTACTGATTCGTCCACACAGCTACTGAACGGAGGGTATTTTAGCCATGACGCATTGTACATCACGGTTGGTTTGACAATGATTTATTAAAGTCATAAAACATTTTAAAATAATTACATAAAACCTTTTCTCAATTTAAAATTAAAAATAATACATTTTATCAGCATCTGCTTCATTTAAAAAAAAAGAAGATAGAATTGCTTGGTTCTCTCCCTTATAGACCCTTCCTTAGTGTAAACGGTATAATTGCTTCCCTTGTTAATTCCTAGTACTCGGTGCGATCCTCTCCATTATACTAACTCTAACAAACCTCTAGAGACTTCTTGTTAAGGGGGGATAAATCTTAAAGATAACGTAACACTTCCTCGTATAAAAAAGATTCAGTTATTAAAATGTTATTGTGGACGGAATACTTCACATGATATGTGATATTAAATTCGATACTTTAAATTTGTTAGGAACGTAAGAATCGATTATGTCATATGAGTACAAGAAATTTGTTTAAGTTTATAAATAATGCAAGAAGTTGCCGGTTAATAAATGCAAGAATAATCCGTGAGTGCAATGGCTACGTGACAATGTCATGTTTTAATTTTTGGATACAATACAAAAATTGGTTGTAATAAATATCAAGTTACTTTCAAAGTCCCATGGGAATGTTAAAAGGTTTTTTATTTTGCTTTCTTTTGACAGGATAACTTTTTTCTACGTTCTTCTACATTCTACATTCTTTGTTTTAGGCTAAACATTTATCATTTAACACAATATTTAGCCAGCCTGTCTTGTACCAACCTGTCTTGTACCAACCTGTTTTGTACCAGCCTGTCTTGTACTAAACCTGTCTTGTACCAACCTGTCTTGTACCAGCCTGTCTTGTACCAACCTGTCTTGTACACAGGTGTATGTAGGACATTGGTCTAACACAGGTGTGTGTAGGACATTGGTCTAGCACAGGTGTGTAGGACATTGGTCTAACACAGGTGTATGTAGGACATTGGTCTAACACAGGTGTATGTAGGACATTGGTCTAACACAGGTGTATGTAGGACATTGGTCTAACACATGTGTGTGTAGGACATTGGTCTAACACAGGTGTGTGTAGGACATTGGTCTAACACAGGTGTATGTAGGACATTGGTCTAACACATGTGTGTGTAGGACATTGGTCTAACACAGGTGTGTGTAGGACATTGGTCTAACACAGGTGTGTGTAGGACATTGGTCTAACACAGGTGTTTGTATGTAGGACATTGGTCTAACACAGGTGTGTGTAGGACATTGGTGTAACACAGGTGTGTGTAGGACATTGGTCTAACACAGGTGTTTGTATGTAGGACATTGGTCTAACACAGGTGTTTGTATGTAGGACATTGGTCTAACACAGGTGTGTGTAGGACATTGGTGTAACACAGGTGTGTGTAGGACATTGGTCTAACACAGGTGTATGTAGGACATTGGTCTAACACAGGTGTATGTAGGACATTGGTCTAACACAGGTGTTTGTATGTAGGACATTGGTCTAACACAGGTGTGTGTAGGACATTGGTGTAACACAGGTGTGTGTAGGACATTGGTCTAAAACAGGTGTGTGTAGGACATTGGTCTAACACAGGTGTGTGTAGGACATTGGTCTAACACAGGTGTTTGTATGTAGGACATTGGTCTAACACAGGTGTGTGTAGGACATTGGTCTAACACATGTGTGTGTAGGACATTGGTCTAACACAGGTGTGTTAGGACATTGGTCTAACACAGGTGTGTGTAGGACATTGGTCTAACACAGGTGTTTGTATGTAGGACATTGGTCTAACACAGGTGTGTGTAGGACATTGGTGTAACACAGGTGTGTGTAGGACATTGGTCTAACACAGGTGTTTGTATGTAGGACATTGGTCTAACACAGGTGTTTGTATGTAGGACATTGGTCTAACACAGGTGTGTGTAGGACATTGGTGTAACACAGGTGTGTGTAGGACATTGGTCTAACACAGGTGTATGTAGGACATTGGTCTAACACAGGTGTATGTAGGACATTGGTCTAACACAGGTGTTTGTATGTAGGACATTGGTCTAACACAGGTGTGTGTAGGACATTGGTCTAAAACAGGTGTGTGTAGGACATTGGTCTAACACAGGTGTGTGTAGGACATTGGTCTAACACAGGTGTTTGTATGTAGGACATTGGTCTAACACAGGTGTGTGTAGGACATTGGTCTAACACATGTGTGTGTAGGACATTGGTCTAACACAGGTGTGTTAGGACATTGGTCTAACACAGGTGTGTTAGGACATTGGTCTTCCACCCTCTCTACAAATCTTCACAAGTTTTTAGCTCCCCCACCCTAATAAGACGTTCTATAACCCCCCCCCCCCCCCCAACCCACTCTCGACACACGTTCACTCAATTCCTTCCACCCACTGCGGCGTACTGTCCCGAGGTTAATTACTTCAGATGAAGAAAACAACAACTGTTACCACTTCATCTGTATTGTATCTGCACACCCATAGTTCCCATGCACACCCATAGTTCCCTGCACACCCATAGTTCCCCGCACACCCATTGTTCCCCGCACACCCATTGTTCCATACATACGCATAGTTACCCGCACACCCATAGTTCCCTGCACACCCATAGTCCCATGCACACCCATAGTTCCCTGCACACCCATAGTTCCCCGCACACCCATTGTTCCCCGCACACCCATTGTTCCATACATACGCATAGTTCCCCGCACACCCATAGTTCCCTGCACACCCATAGTTCCCTGCACACCCATAGTTCCCTGCACACCCATAGTCCCATGCACACCCATAGTTCCCTGCATACCCATAGTTCCCTGCACACCCATAGTTCCATGCACACCCATAGTTCCCTGCACACCCATAGTTCCCTGCACACCCATAGTTCCCTGCACATCCACAGTTCCCTGCACACCCATAGTTCCCTGCACACTTATAGTTCCGTGCAGACCTGAACCATGGGAGGATGTTGGTGCACCATCAGCCAACAGATCCAATCTATTTCTCCAGACCCAGATATACAATCAGCTATCTCTCTCTCTACGGAAACCGGCTCAGAAGGTTGACTTCCATTAGCCAGGCAGGCCTCAGTGTAGCAAACTCCGACACATAGCGAGTCGTTTAGTGTCGGTTAGATCGCTACACGTCGGTCGCTTCTCCGTCGGCTCTCACCGGGCTTTCCTTCCCCACCCACCAGCCGCGGGACGTCGTCCTACCGTCTGGTACCCAGCTTCATCGTGGGGGGGGGGGGGGGGGGCGTTCGGCCAGATCACAACCCTCTAGCTGCTGTTAGCTACCACTAGCCATTCCGCACCCACTAGGGGGGTCATGAGCTTGGTCCGACTAATGGCACTCTTCCGAAGCCACGCGAAGGCCGCAGTTTAAAGTCAAAATATTTGGTTAGGGTCGAGAGCAGACCCCTTTTGGTTCCCGGCAGTCCTGCACCTCACCTCCCCCACGCTATAATGTAGGGGACTTGGGAGTCCGACGTACCAGGCTCTTTGGAAATACAATCAGCTAACAGATCCAATCTGTTCCCCCAGACCACCAGCAAACAGATCCACTCTATTTCCCCTAACCATCAGCTAACAGATCCACTCTACTTCCCCACACCATCATCTAACAGATCCACTCTACTTCCCCACACCATCAACTAACAGATCCACTCTACTTCCCCTAACCATCAGCTAACAGATCCACTCTACTTCCCCACACCATCAGCTAACAGATCCACTCTACTTCCCCAGACCCTGAACGAGGAGAAGACTCTGGTCCACCACTCCACCGTGTTCCTCACCAACGAGAACTACCAGCACGTCAACTATGGCTCCATTCTCTTCCAGCTTAAGGAGGCTCACGGCGAGTCGACCAACCTGTACGACTTCATCCAGAGAATATGGGAGATCATCTGGCAGTCACGTGAGTCTTGTTTCAGATTATCTGGGCTGGAGATTATCTGGGCTGGGGATTATCTGGGCTGGAGATTATCTGGGCTGGGGATTATCTGGGCTGGAGATTATCTGGGCTGGAGATGTGTTTAAATTGTGTTTATGTTAAGATGCCTGACGATGTATTTAAATTGTGTTTATCCTAACATACCTATGTGTTTAAATTGTGTTTATCTTAACATACCTGACAATGTGTTTAAATTGTGTTTATCTTAACATGCCTGACGATGTGTTTAAATTGTGTTTATCTTAACACACCTGACGATGTGTTTAAATTGTGTTTATCATAACACACCTGACGATGTGTTTAAATTGTGTTTATCATAACACACCTGCCGATGTGTTTATTTACAGTTGTGTTGACAGTCTTCCTGTTGCTGCTATTTGGCCTGCCCATCTCCATGTTGGCTATGGGTAAGTTGACAGCCGTCTCATACATGTCAGTACTGGCATCGTGACACCTCATCACCATGATGTCACCATAAGTGACACCTCTACCCATCACGATCTTCCCTCTATCATCATGATGTCATCATCATAATGTCATCATCATAATGTCACCATCATGATGTCACCATAAGTGACACCTCTACCCACCACGATCTTCCCTCTATCATCAAGTCACTATAATGATGTCACTATGATGATGTCACCATCATGATATCACCTTAATGATGTCACCATCATGTCACCATCATGATGTCACCATAATAATGTCACTATCATCATTTATTCATCATAATGTCACTATCATGATGTCACCATCATGATGTCACCATCATGATGTCACTTTCATGATGTCACTATCATGATGTCATCTGCTGTATCATGGCGATCTAGGCTACACAGTCTCACTATCCCACACGTTGTGACCATTTTATCACACTGTCAGCAACATCACAACATCACACACCGTCACCCATCATCACAAAACATCACATCACACACACACACACAAACACTTATCATCAAATCCTAATATATAAATCCCCACGTTCGCACATCTCTCTCTCTCTCTCTCTTTCTCTGTCCGCAAAAAATTTTCGCCGGACATCACGTCAGAATCGGCAGCGGTATATGGAGAACTTTTTACGGACTTTTGTTGAAAATAATATGTTAGATGTTTTAAATGTATAACCACAATTTTACTTAAAGAAGAAAAATAAAAATTAAAGGCGTATTCGAATGTAGAGAAACAGTATTATTTATGCAACCGGAAAAGCATTAATACATGTGAAAAAGAACGCATAAAACTGTGACGTCGCTATTGCTTATACATTAACTAATGACGTCATCTGCTGTGTTTTGAATAAAAAGAAATGAACTATTTCATTCAAATTTGATTTAGATCTGCGTACACTATGAAATGTATACAATACAATTTTTCCGGCCTAAACTCATAAAATTTATTTTATGTATTTGGATTCTAGATCTAGACTAGATTCTAAATCTAAATCTAAATCTACGCAATAACTAGACTAGATCTAGACGTAGACGCTAAGATCTAGATTTAGACTCTAACTTCTCTAAAATCAATTCCAAAAATAAATTTCTATATTAGGACTAAACTATTTCAAGACTTATTTATTTTATACAAAATCTTTGTTTGGAACTGGCTAATTTGAGATAAAAAAATTAATTTGAAAGAATAGGCATATTCGCGTAAGTTAAGATTTTAAAATACGTGTTTCATTCTCCGAATATTATAAGGTGCCTAAATAGCGGAGATGTTAGTGTACATTAAACCACGCAGGTGGTGCGGGTTCGAGACACACCAAGTCAACTTGGTTAATGTATTTTTTTTAATTATGCTCGGGCTAAACTTAAAAAAAAAAATTCTTTTAGGAATCTAGATCTAGATCTAGATTGTCGGGTGTCCGATAGGGCACTTCCCGGCGCCGCAGGCGCTTCAAATTTGGCAGGATCTTGCCTTGGGGCGACAGAACACGGGGGCCGGTTGGCCGAAAAGTCTACGATGAGGGGGTCAAAACTGACCTCGACTGACCGGTACCTTATATGAGCTATAAATTAAAAAAAAATGTCCACGGAGGAACCTCTTCATAACTCTTGAGGTCGTAGACCGACCCTCGGGCGAATTAATTAAGCATTCAAATTCTCAATGTTTTCGAAAGCCTAAGCGAAGCTGGGCAGCATGCCTAGTACAATCAGAAAAGGCCAGTCGGGCTTACTCGTTTCAATTTAGCTTTTAAGTAAAAATTTTTTACAGTCTAGAGAAAACAATGTCTGTTTTAGATGTTATAACGTTTCAATAGCTATTTCATGCTTCACACATCAAATGGCCAACTGCTTATAAACTGACTCATGTTTGATGGCCAAGGACATAGACATAAACTGACATTGGAGCCTATTTGATGGCCAGCGACATGCAGACTTTTCATCAGCTCTTAATTCTTTTTTAACTTTCTGAAAATTACAAACTGAAAGGAATCCCATCTGGATGCTAGCTGAAATAGATATTAAGTTTTATGTTTCCAGCAAATTAAAATACGTTTCTGTTACATCCATTAACCTCAAGAGTCTACCTCAGACCTCCATGTAGCATGACTCACCTCGGGGAGAATCACATGACACGTCAGTCTCAAGTTTCAACTTTGAAAACTAATTAGTTAAAAAATCGTTTTGTAAGTTTATATTACAAACGAATTTTAAAAACTTGCGCACGTAATAACAATAATATTGTCCAATACCACTCATCTCCTTCCTCGCTTTATTCCTCTGCCTCAATTCCCCCTCAATTCCCCTCAATTCCCCTAAATTCCACTCAATTCCCCTCAATTCCCCTCAATTCCCCTCGATTTCCCTCAATTCCCTTCAATTCCCCCTCACTCCACACCTCTATCCCTTTCGCCCTTCTCTTCATCTTTCTATCTCGTCCAGAGTTTCTTCCAGGCATCTTCCAGTCTACCACCCCCCTCCCCGACGAACAAAAAGGAATTTATATAGAAAATATATACTTTTAACAGTGTCCGCCCCCCGGAAAATTTAGTCCCCCCCCCTCCGGAAATTTCAAGTGCCACCCCACACCCCTAGAGAAAAAGTCTGGAAGAAACACTGATCTCGTCTTCCCCCCTCTCTTTTCTTTACTCGTCTCCTCTCTCTCTTTCACTCTCATCATCACCATCATCATCATCATCATCATCATCATCATCATCATAATCATCACCATCATCATCATCATCATCATCACCATCATCATCACCATCATCATCATCATCACCATCATCATCATCATCATCATCACCATCATCATCATTATCATCACCATCATCATCATCATCATCACCATCATCACCATCATCATCATCATCATCATCATCATCACCATCATCATCATCATCACCATCATCATCATCCCTCTATGTTACCTGTGCCTGTGATCAAAAGCTGGATCAAAAACCCAACTATTGTTTAGAATCGATGAGGTGAAGACCTTACTTTCTCTAACGTTTGCATCGACCAAATTAAAGATGTAACCTTACTCCAGTGGCGCTAATCACCACGCGGCTTGTGTATCACGTGATACGCTAAACCTTTCGATTACAGCCGTCTATAATTACCGACACGTTCTTACAATAAACAATGGAATAATTGTGGCACAACCATTTCTTTTTTTCCTAGCAAATTATGGACACACATTTTTTTTATTATAAATATTGTGAAATATGGGCACACACGTTTTAAAAAGCCTAGATCTAGCACAAAATCGACTCAAATGTTTTTTAAGTGTGGCAGAATATGGACAAATAAATTTTAACCTGTGACAGAGTATAGACAAATACATTTTAACATGTGGGAGAATATAGACAAAATGTTTTATAAACTTGGAAAAATATGGACAAAAATGTAGAAATAGTTTAATTAAGCCTCGCAGAATATGGGAGAATAGTTTAATATGGCTGGAAAAATATGGACAGGTAAGTTAAAAATGTGGCAGAATATGGACAAGTAGATCGTCTCTGAGTCCAGCCAGCTGATGGGATATCTAACTCACGTTAGGGAAAGTTAAGACGACTGGGCATAGTGCTGACCACACTATCCCTTTGTATGCCGAGGTCACAGAATCAGGTGAACTCAACTTGCCCCATAGACGGCCAGGTTTGGAAGGGGAACTTTACTGTACTTACTTTAGAATATGGACAAAATGTTTTACAAGCCACGCAGAATATGGGCAAATATTCGAATTAGTCTCGCAGAATATGGACAAATATTTGAATTATTCAGGCAGAGTATGGACAAATATTTGAATTAGTTAGGCAGAATATGGACAAATATTTGAATTAGTCAGGCAGAATATGGACAAACATTTGAATTAGTCAGGCAGAATATGGACACATATTTGAATTAGTTAGGCAGAATATGGACAAATATTTGAATTAGTTAGGCAGAATATGGACAAATATTTGAATTAGTCAGGCAGAATATGGACAAATATTTGAATTAGTCAGGCAGAATATGGACAAATATTTGAATTAGTCAGGCATAATATGGACAAATATTTGAATTAGTCAGGCAGAATATGGACAAATATTTGAATTAGTCAGGCAGAATATGGACAAATATTTGAATTAGTCAGGCATAATATGGACAAATATTTGAATCAGTCAGGCAGAATATGGACAAATATTTGAATTAGTCAGGCAGAATATGGACAAATATTTGAATTAGTCAGGCAGAATATGGACAAATATTTGAATTAGTCAGGCAGAATATGGACAAATATTTGAATTAGTCAGGCAGAATATGGACAAATATTTGAATAAGTCACTGACACAACACTGACGTGTGTTTAAACCAAGTTTTTCTCTCCATCTGTAAGGACGTGTGTTTCTCTAGTGTTTATTTGAGTACAGCGTTAAGTCACGTGGTCACGAATTCATCACGTGATTCCACGCTTCAAAAGTTATTTATAGCAGCGGTATCCAAAATAGGTGGCGCTCCCGCTGATGGGAAATACGTTAGACGTTAGGGTTTTACCCTTTCCAATCAATATACACAAACATACATGTTTAACATAATATTACGTTTAACAACTTAATTTAAAAATAGACTTTTTTGTGCTATATAATGATAAACTAGGACACTTTTCTAATTAAAGGGGTTAAAAAAACAGTTACTTCCAATTCAAAGCTTAGAAATTAAAAATTAATTTGACTAAGCTATTTCCCATTTAGGAATTAAAATTAAACAAGGGAGAGTATACCTAATGCTATGTTCATTAAAGTAATTAAAATGCAGATAAATTAAATGAGATTAAAATAAATCGCCATTTCATAATTTGTTATAACAAAAAATAAACTAATAAAATTGCAAATAAAACTCTTTCTTGTTTTGCAAATATCTTTAACTTTTAAATTATCTTTGACTCTAATTAAAAAAATAAAAGCGTAAATTAAGTAAAATAAATAATTTATAGAGATGTTGACGTTCACGAAATTACTAGTGGTATTGTTGTTTTGAAAGCTGAAAACAATGATTTTTCTTGGTTTTAAAAATGAAAATTGACGCCATTAATTATGTAAAAGGAAACCATCTTAAATGAATGAAAGTACATGAGATAAAGAAATATTAATTTGTTTTAATTTCCGTCACTTTTATCATAATTCTACACTATGGGGCAACATCAATTGCAAAATTTTACAGAGTTTATATATTTAGAACAACTGATAAGTTGATTTAAGAGCGGGAAAGGGGTGACACCAAAATCTAATAATTTACGCTGAAAACAATGCTTTTTCCTAATGAATTAAAAGTAGAATTAATATAATTTGCGCACAAATTGACGCCATTAGACAAAATGAGAGGGGGCGACACCAACTGCAACTATATAGGCCTATGTCGACCTTAATATATATATATATATATATATATATATATATATATATATATATATATATATATATATATATATATATATATATATATATATATATATATATATATATATATATATATATATATATATATATATATATATGGGGGGGGATACCGCACTGGGAGACACCGACCTAGCGACGCCACTGAGTAGCCCACAGAGGCGTACCGATGGGGGGGGGGGGGGGGGGCAGGGGGGGTACATATGTCCCCGGGCGCCGACCTTCGTCCGTCGAAGAATAATCTGCAAGGCAGCACGTGATTGATGTATATTTTACGAGATTTTTTTTTTTTAAATTAAAAAATAATTTTTTCGTTCATTAATCTCTGCATAACATCCATGGTACTCAATGTATTGCTATTTATTCCAGATACATCTGTAAGTCCATACAACCCCCCCCTCCCTCCCCCCCTCCCCCCAAAGTCTTTTTATTAAAATCTCAACTTTTGCGACTTCCTAAATTCCGCTCAACTATCCACATGCCACCACGTTACCAATCAATTATTTACATTTTCACGTTTTAAAAATTATTTACATTTTCACGTTTTAAAAATTATTTACATTTTCACGTTTTAAAAATTAAAATGAGACCTTTTTGTTTTGTGTATAAATAAACACAATGTCAATAAATGAAGACATACCTACTTGTCAGATAAAACTATTACTATTGTGAATCTTTAGGGCGACGATGAAAGTTTTTAAACTATAGCGAGCTGGGAGGTAAAGCTAATTAGCGCTGTGAATTATCTATATATATAATTCTCTTCTTCGAGCCGTTAGAAAACAAGCTGCAAACGCTCTCCCTACCTCCCCACCCCTACATGGTTTTAGTGAGCTGTGTTCACTCTAAATGTTTACAAGCAGAGCCAACGATTTTAAACGTAGGGGGGGGGGGGGGGGGGGGGAGGAGGGGGGGAGGGAAGGAAGGGGGGGGGGGGGGTTATGGTCCTTAACGAGCTACTTATAGTGTTTTAAAGAAATATTTTCAGTGTCAGCGTTGGTACTGTCGAATTCACAAATTATGAATTATTGAAAATTAGAAACAACTAAATAGCGGCGTATGTTATGCCGCGGGCCGGCTCGTATGTCTATATTACAAAAACAAAATAAAAAATAAAAAAACCTGCATATAGCGTACTAGTTAAGCAGTGTTATCGAGAGGATAACAGTTCATCCTTAGAGTAGATACATTCAATGAAGCACCCCTTTGCAAATTGCCCGCTACTGTAGTCTGAAAAGCTAGCATCTCGCACTATAGCAGTTAATGTTGGTAGACGTTGGAGAGGCAACACATTTTTATTTTTTTTGAAATGGTGAAATTAAAAAAAAAATATTTGGAAACCTCTTACCTGTCGGCACGTATAGTCTATTCCATCGTATTGACTTCACATTGAGGCTTATTCCTGGGGACGATGTAAGTGCTAACCCGAAAGACTCGAGTTTGGGCTCGAGTCTGTCTGTAAGTTTCCACTGAGCCCACCCAGCTATAATGGGTACTTGAGTCACGCTAGTAAAACAAAGGCGGCTTGGCATATCCCCCGCCCCCACATACTATGTCCAGAGTTTCTTCCAGGCATCTCTTCGGGGGGGGGGGGGGGGGCGGAGCCACACGAAGAAAGTCTACCGCCCCCCCTCTCGAACGAAATGAATTTTATATAGAAAATACATACTTTTAACAGTGTCCGCCCCGCCGAAAAAAGTCTACCACCCCCCCCCCCCCCCCCCGTAAATTGCAAGCGCCCCCCCCCCCCCCGGAGAAAAAAGTCTGAAAGAAACACTGACTATGTCGAGGTCATTGAAACATGAACTCCCCATCATGTGCCTCGTGTATCTATGGGCACGAACGCGAAAAGATGACGGCGTATTGTGGCTTATATTGTAGATGTGATGCTGACTAACGCGCTATTGATCTTTCCCATTTCTTCCACAGGCACGTCGTACCTCGAGGAGTGTCCCAAAGAGCCGAAGATTCCCATCTACCTTCTGGTGGGCGGCGCCTTCGGCTTCATCTTCATCTGCATCGTCCTGTGGCAGCAGAAGCGAGCACGTGACTACATGCTGCTGGACGACAGCAAGGACGATGCTGACGTCGACGACGATGACGTCATGACCCGGAGCTACCGGTTCACCGGGTACATCCTCTCCCTCTTCCTCCTCATCTGGTTCGCGCTGGGTAACTACTGGCTGTTCGGGATCTGGCAGCCCAACTACACCCAGCCCCTACACGAGCCCAGGAACTGGTGCTCCAAGCAGCTCTACACCTACGCGTTCTACCAGCTGGTCACGTGTTATTCGCTGTTCGGCGTCAGCGTCATTGGGTTCCTCGGCTGTCTCGTGGCTTACACGTGTGGGCGCATGCGCAAGTGAAGCGCCGTGGTGACGTTAAAAAAAAACATTCAACGGGTTAGTGAAAGAAACGGCTAAAATAAAACAGTAGCATGACTTTAAAATAGACTTTAAATCGCTCATTAGGACACTACAAGCTTGGATTCCAGAGCCTAAGCAGATGTTTGAGTGGATGATTCAAGCATTGGAGAAGTCAACTTATCATATGTACAATTTCAACTATTAAAAAATAAAAAAAATCACCCATAAAAGAATTTTATAAAATGGCACTTGGTTTATTAAAGGTCATTGACCTCTTTAAAATATAATGAGACCTTTAGATATGGAAGCATTTGATTTATGATTGAGATGCTGACGTTTTCGTCATTTTTACAGGTACTCTCTTGCTGATTCATATATATATATATATATATATATATATATATATATATATATATATATATATATATATATATATATATATATATATATATATATATATATATATATATATATATATATATATAATAGATTAAAACTGTACGTTTCGGTCAGAAAACTTCGGTGTACAGAATTCTAAAAGAATTTCTTAAACTGTTATCTTTACTGAAATTAGGTTTCATTTCTTTCATTGCCGACTCAAAACAAACAAACATTTGTACCATCACGATATGTTTGATATCTTGGTCCATAATTCACAAAACTGAGTGACATGGACTACGCCTTTTCCGAAAAATCTACACCTCCACCCCCCCCCCCCTTCAAACGACCATGCAGCGTCACACGAATCTACACCTACACCTCTCACCAGAGGCACAGCGAAGGGGGGGGGGGGGTGGCGGTACATATGTCCCCGGGCGACGACCATAGGAGGCGCTAAAATGGGTTGGAAAAACAAATTAAAATGTAATTTTAGCTGCATTTGGCATCATAAATAGTTTGAGGGGGGTGCAAATCGAAAGTTTCATGGGGGGGGGGGGGGGCGGGTGCAAATTAAAAATTTGCTCCCGAGGGGCGCCAAATTGAAAGTTAAGTTTGTCCCCGGGCGCCGGGAAGGGTCGCTACGCCTCTGCCTCTCACACCTATCAAGTCCGACAGAAACATGTTTACATCGGATTTCTTAAACTTCTTGATGTTCACAAAATACGGTGTCTACATGTGGTAAAACCGTTGTTTACATCACGATTTCAACCATGTTGATCTTTCTCTAAAAAAAAGTTTAAATATTTTAACGTGAAGTATATTTATTACATTATTTAAAAATAATATTTTTTTTTGCGCGGTGGTAAATTTTGTTTTGTTCCGATTGTTGGGTTCTAGAATCTAGGGGTATATAAATAACAACAGACAAATACGACGTATACAACAATAACACTAACACTCTATATAATAACAATAATAATAAGATATTTAATAATATATACAGTACTAAAATAATAAAAGGATCAAAAGGGGTCTACAACATAAATACAATACTCAACACCACGTTCCACGTCCACAGCCACACTACAACTAACTGTTTCACACACTGGCACACGCTCTCTGACACCCGTCACCTGACACACCTCACGTGAACACCTCTCGCTCCATGTAAACACACTCAACCAAGGGATACAACTATACACCAAAGGGAGGGTACCTGTCGTTCCAGCACACAACACACACACACACAAGCAGGGGACATGTAAGGGACGTAACATCCCTCCCCTCCACCTTCAGATCTCTTTTCCTTAAAGAGATCAAACATCTCTTGTTCCATTAGCCACTGTTGGTGCCCGAGCTCGACTATTTATTCTTTAGTCCTTAGGACGCCTCGCTTTGACCGGTGGGGACAGCGTTTGGCTTGTATCCAGCCTGGACAGTTGGGTCCAGCGTGTGGCTTGTATCCAGCCTGGACAGTTCGGTCCAGAGTGTGGCTCGCATCCAGCCTGGACAGTTCGGTCCAGAGTGTGGCTTATGGTTTTCTCCGGCCGGGCACCAAGCTCGTGGTCTGACTATCTCAACCTATGAAGATACATGTGAGAAGCCACAATAAAAAATTTGATTTGCATAATCATTCTAAACTGCATCAGTAATACCTTTCTCAAACATTTCTCAATATAATTATATTATAATGCCTCAATAGTAAATTCCTTAACATAATCATACTATACTCCAACAATAATACATTTCTCAATATCATATACACTAGTTGGCGTAAAACACTCGTGATAGAATGTCTGCTACAAAGTTCTCAGTTCCCTTGATATGTTTCACAGTACAGGCTGTTTCCTGTAGTGTAAGGGCCCATCGGCAGATGCGTACGTCGCCATAGATGGTCATCTTTTCTTAAAGGCGATCAAACTGAGTTCCTTTCTCGATAGCCGTTTTAACTACATTAATCATCTCCAGTTTGTAATCATCATACACAGCTTCTGTAAAAAAAACCAAAGAAAAATTTACATTCATTAAATAAATTATCTTTAACAAAAAAACGTACCAAGGTCACTACCTTTGTAAGGATACGCCTCCCAATTGTGTGCTTTACCTCACTCTCATATGCGAGTCTTTAAGCAGGGAAAAATTTCCTAACATATCACGCTGAGCTGTGGGACACACCCGTGATATGTGACCAACACCACCGCAGCAATAACACTTGAGATCATCTGACCGTCGATGTACATTTTCAGTACGCCAGTTGCTCGCTCTACTGGTCCCGTTGGGACAGTTTCGTTGTATGTGGCCTGGCTTTCTACAGCTATAACAGGCGCCTGTATCTATATCCATACTGCACTCTTTGGCAATATGACCTTGTTCATTGCACTTGTAGCACCGATAAGGTCTTTGGTTGTTTCCATACTCCACAACAGCTCTTTTATCTGACCTATTTCTCCAAGTAAAGCCGCTATTACTATTGCTATGACAATCCCTGGCATAGTGTCCATGACGTCCACATGCATAACATTTACTGTTCAGGCTGACCTTCCTAACACCATGCATAGGCTGTACACCAGGGCAAGTGTGGTGTCCTGGAGATCGCGGTGTCGTGCTTTGCCAGGGTATCCTCTCTGCTGTCGAACTAGCAGCGACGTACGGAGGGGTTTGGTTTACTGGCCTCGTCACTCTAGCGTTTCGAGTGCTCTTATAGTTGTCAATAACTTTAAGATTATCTTCCACACTTACCTTGGCAGCACCATTCAGCCTCTCCAACAGATCACAAGTAACAACCGATTTTATCCGATCAACTATCAGGAGGTTCATCAAGTCCTCAAACGTTTCCTTTATTCCCGACTGCTGGACCCACGCTCTCAAAGCGGCTTCTGTGTTGACTGCGAAGCTTCTCATGTCGTCGTGTGTTGGTACTAGCTGGTGGAATCTGACCCTATACTTTTCCTCGTTGAAACCTGCGTGCGTGAATAACTTTACCTTTACTGACTCGAAGTCATGATGCAAGTTCAGTCCCGTCTCAACGAGGAAAGTCTTCAGTTGTCCACTCATCTTGTCCGTCAGAAGGAGCGACCAGTCCTTCGGGTCAATGCCTTGTCTTTTTGCTTGACTCTCAAAATGCCTCACATACGCACTCAGGTCCTCGTCCGCCGTCATCGCCGCCACGTCCCTCAAGCGGGATACAGGGTTACATACCTTTGCTACAACCTCGACCTTCGCATCTTCCACCCTCCTCAACTCTTCCTTTACCCACTCCGCCAAACTGTCATCGGTCAGCCCGATTAGCTTTCCCTCCTCCTTCAAGTCAATTATTAGCTGTCTTCTGGCACTCCTGGTAGTCGCCATGCTAAACGGACGGGCCCCCAAATGTTGGGTTCTAGAATCTAGGGGTATATAAATAACAACAGACAAATACGACGTATACAACAATAACACTAACACTCTATATAATAACAATAATAATAAGATATTTAATAATATATACAGTACTAAAATAATAAAAGGATCAAAAGGGGTCTACAACATAAATACAATACTCAACACCACGTTCCACGTTCCACGTCCACAGCCACACTACAACTAACTGTTTCACACACTGGCACACGCTCTCTGACACCCGTCACCTGACACACCTCACGTGAACACCTCTCGCTCCATGTAAACACACTCAACCAAGGGATACAACTATACACCAAAGGGAGGGTACCTGTCGTTCCAGCACACAACACACACACACACAAGCAGGGGACATGTAAGGGACGTAACACCGATAACTAAATTAAATTACACTAAATAACATTAATGTTTTTATATTTAAAATCGACGAGTGAGCTCTTTTAAGTGTTAAAATAAAAAAAATATGGTTGTTATTACAAGGTTAATATTTATTTTGTTAAACGAGTTTCCCATAATGATTTTTAATTGAAATGGGAAAAAAAATTCTGATTGATTTAAATTGTTGCAATCGTTTTCCCCTCTAATGATATTCTAATCAAGGCAGAGAACTCTGTTTAATATAATTTCACTTTGTTGTTTTCCTGTTATTACTGGACGTGATCTGTTCATTAAAAGTGTTACATTATTATTTATTACGTCATGTGATATCAAGTGTATGTACATAATTATCAAACTTGTATTTATGATCTGCCCAAAGCCTTCAATAAATGTTTTTATGTTTTTTTTAGTTAGTTCAGTAAGTGATCTTTGATTAATTCATAATTTAAGTATCTGATTTCCTAAATTACTTCTTTAACATCCTCCCATAAAGTGTTTCTTTCAGACATTTTTTCCATGGGGGTGGGCACTTAAAACTTTCATGGGGAAATGGGCGGACTTAAGTTTTTGAGGAGGCTTGAGGTACATAAAGTCTATTTAGGTAAGGGGAGAGGAAGGGCGGTAGACGTGCTTCGGGGTGGGGGTGGGGAACGGAAGAGATAAAAGGGACCCCCTCCCTTCGAAAAGATGCTTGAATCTCTGCTTATATACTACCGTCACTGAACTAATTTACTTAACTACCTTCGTTGTTTAACTACCTTCAGTGTTTCTTCCAGACTTTTTTCTCCCGGGGGCACCTGAAAATTTCGGGGGGGGGGGGGGACACTGTTAAAAGTATATATTTTCTATATAAATTATATAGATTCCATTTCGTTCGGGGGGGGGGGGGGGGGCGAAGAGATGCCTGGAAGAAACTCTGACTACCTTACTTATACCTTACTTATATATCAACCTCACTTACCTATTTCTCCCTAAACTGACACATCTGACTTAACTGAGCACCA